ATTCATATCTGGGATGTAACTTCTAACAGGACTGAAGATCGTCCTTTAACGTATCTAATTTGCTTTTAAATTTACTGATGTTTTCCATTTGCACTTCTTGCCACTGTTGTTGACTTTCCTGCAACTGTTGGATACTTCCTGTTTCCTTTCTTGTTCTAGTTGCCACTGTTGTTGATTTTCCTGTAGTTGCTGCTGACTTTCCTGCAACTGTTGGAGACTTTCTTCCTGTTTATTTTCTCGTTCTTCTTGTTTCTTTTCTTTTTCCTCCAACAACTGCTTTAATTTCTCTTCTTGTTTATTTCTTTTTTCCTCCAACCACTGCTATAATTTCTCTTCTCGTTCTTCTTGTTTCTTTTCTTTTTCCTCCAACAACTGCTGTAATCTCTCTTGTTTATTTTGGTGTTCGAGCTGCCATTGTTTTAGGTTTTCGTGCCACTTCTGTAATATTTCTTCTTGTTTCTTTTTTTTTTCCTCCAACAACTGTTGTAATCTCTTCTCTTCTTGTTTCTTTTGGTGCTCTTGTATTGCTGCCATCAAGTCTGCTATGCTGTAGTTTGATTTGCCGCTTCTCGTTTCCATTTTTTTCTTTTTTTTATCCCACTTTCTGACACCAATTTGTTACGTCTCCGTTTGTTAATTAACTTTCCGTAACTTCGTTCCGACGAAACTTCAGCGACACAAGTCCTTACTTAATAAAACTGGTTTATTCTTTCCGAATATAACTTTACGATACACTTAATTTCAACAATCGCGCTAAAACAAACGTTATAACAACAAACGTGCTCAATAATACTCTCTGACTGCAGATCAATTACTCACTGTCTACACACATATTATTATTCCGTCACGTTGTCACCCTCTTTTATATACCAGGCTACCCTATATCCAGTAAATGCTAGAGCATTCGCGAAGGTACAGGATAGTTCTAGAAACGTGGCGTGACACTAGTCATGTGACCTCGCTGACGCAACAATACTTTCTAATTTTCATTTTATATAGAACTATAAGTATGTACAAGCATTAATTTCATAATACAAGTTTATACTTATTAGTTTTACTTTTGAAGGTGACGAGTATTGTAATACTTTATTATTGTAATCATATTTTGTTAATTTAATGCTTATAGAACCATATTAAAAGCTTTTATACCTGTTTTCTTTTAATACTTTAAAGGATTACTAACACTTGGATTATACCATAGGTTTCTAAAGCTTTACGGTTTAATGGTGCTATGAAATGAGATGAATAATCAAGCTATTAACCAATTTTAATGTACTAAAACTAAAATGCAAACTCAATGGGGCAAACTAAGTCGCATGTGTGAAAGATGCCAGGCCTACTTTTCATTCCTAATAATGGTCTGGCATGAAGTTATTAACAGTATTCAGCCAGCAATGATATGGTTTTTACTATTGAAAGTTTTTGTTTTTTATATAAAAATCCCATTACAACAGTCTTTTAAAATGCAATAGATGTAAATTTACTTCAAAATGTCAGCTTATAATTTCATATAGCATATAATGGTATCATGATTACAAGTTCCTTATGCAAATGTTAGTTATGAATTCTCAGGCAAGTCCTGAAGAAGCAACTAAAATCATGATTTAGCTTATTTCTCTTACAGAATTAGAACCACTTAAAGTTAAGTTAATCTGCCTCCTTTATAAGTGTTATTATGTTTTAAAGGGAACTAATCCCACATTTCAACCCTAATCATTTTGATTTAATGGATTTAAATGCACAAACAAACCTCCCACATTTTACACAAAAAGGTCACTTTATTAACCAAAACATATTAATATTATGCACAAATCCATCTAAATTACCCTTTCTAGATTCTTATACCTATCCAGCAAAACTACAAAAATCAGTTATTACAACATACTACATATTATAAATGAGGTAAACTGATCCATAGGTTAAACTAAGAGAGAGAACTAAATGACATTATGAACAAGGTTTCTAAAATTTACAGTATAATTAATATACTTATTTAAATTACCAAAATCCATAATTTTTAACACTTGAATCAAATCACCTCGAGTTCTTTTATGCTTCAATAAAAACAGCTGATTTCCTTACTTTTTCTAAACCTGAGAGCATTAGTGTAGCTCATCTATGCACATTTTCCAAAAATTAATCCTTGCTACAGTTTTCTAAATAATAGAAGTTACAAAAACATTAATTAAAATAACATTAGTATTTTATTCTTAAACTAAATATGCATAAATATATAAATCAGAGCATTCTATCTTCAGGCTTATTTACACAATCACACCAAAATCCTTATCATTTTCCACTGGTTTAGTTTAAGGTGGGTGGGATTAATTTTTAAAATCCAGTATTATGTACAAACATGTTCAAAAACTGTTCTTGATTTCAAAATCTTACAAACAATTCACACATGCTTGACCACTACTCAAGTCTATCAAGGTATTTGTGAATCAAATCAAAATTATCTATAGTACTTGCTTTTCTAGTAACATATCATCATCAACAACTTACAAAATAGTTTACTATTCATTCATTCAAAAATACAGGTCATACCTTAATTCTACAAAAATTAAATATTGAATCACAGTTTAAGTTTAACCTCCTAGACACTTAAAAGTTTCAGTAAGGTATAAAGATACATGCTAATTACATAAAACTACGGACTACATCAAAATTATTTTGTAATCAAGTTTTATGCTACACTATGGGCATCTGCAGAATTTTTTTTTCTTTTTTTTTTGGGGGGGGGGCAAAATCAAAATTAAGGGATGACGGACCCACCTTCAAAATTTTGCCATTACAGTCAAGGAAATAGGCAAGCTCACAGAGTCAGATTTGATGGGTTTAATATTTGTAAGGTTAGTTTATGCCATACTGCATATTTGCAGCTATATATACTCCATAATAGTTAATTTTGGTTTGTTCTTTTAGGTTCTTAACCCTATAGAGTAATTTCACCTGTTTATTTAGATGCAGTAATCTGAGGTAACATAAAGCACAATATTTCAATGACATTTTTTGTGTATGTATGGTAAAAACAACATTTCAGGCTAAGAGACCTTAATACACACAATCCGGGAGAGGGAGTGATGCCCCCCCCCCCCAAAAAAAAATTTGGATGCCCATGTACTACACTACTCACAAAAATTAAAGGTGAATGGCATTTAAATTTTCATTCAAAATTTTAAGAAACAAACATCACAGATAAACAATACCAAGCAAGTAAAAAATTTCATTTACATAATAATAATAAAAAAAAACATTGACGAAAACTGCCATTATTTGGCTGCACAAATATCAAAGAAAAAATAACCTATTAAGCTGAAAAAACTTAATGAAATGTGTCTTTAGTAGCTGGTAGTTCCACCTCTGTTGTTTACAGCTTCTCTGCACCTGTTCCCCATACTGCTGATAACATTTTGAATGACTTAATGGGGTAACACAGTCCACTCCTGGATGAAAGCAGCTATGAGCTCCTAGACAGTTACAGGAGCAGGTTGTCTGTGTTCAACAGCACTGCCCAATAAGTCTCTCATTCAGATTCAGGTCTGGTGACTTAGTAGGCCAATCCAGTATCTATATTTATTCATCCTGAAAAACTGCTGCATGATCCTGGCAGTGTGAAGATGGGCATCATCCTGCTGATACATGAAATCATCTCTGACAGCACCAGCAAAAAGATGAACAATAGATGGCAGGATCTCATCCATTTAACATCTTGCTGTCAGGATCTCCATCCACCACATAAAGGTCTTGTACACCTCTGCATGCAGAGGCCACCCCAGACCACCTCCAAAAGCATCATGGTGGACAATGTAACAGGCTGAATATGGGTCTTCTTCATGTATCCAGACCCTCACACATCAATCACTTGAAGGTACCAGAACCTGTCCTCATCTGTGAACATGTTCATGGCCAAATGCCAGCTGAGCTGTTCAGTACCTTGGGGCTCTCACTGATATCCTGAGCTTGATACACATTCCAGTGGCTTGCTGAGGTTCATTCCTGAGACCCATAGTGCTGCTGCTGCAGTTTCTAATATCTAATTTCTGCAGTTATTGGTCAGCTACAGTACCTGTGACACCTCCAATGATCTGTGCCAGTTCAGTGTGGGTGCAGCTTTCCTGTAGCATTGTGATGGCTCTGTAAATTTCAGTTTCAATCAGTTGGTTACTAACTGCTTGAACACTCTTTACAAAACTCAATATCAGTAAAAAATCCATAAATCTAGCATTATCTCAAAAGTAAACATATTTCCTAATCAATTAAAACTAGCCTCTTGCTTTGCAGAATTTGGATTATTTCTCATAAAGGCCTATTACATTAGGAATCATTGGTGCATAAACTTGCAAGCCTTAGGTGGGATTAATGTAATTCTATAAAATAAGCATGCTAAATTCTATAAAAAATTATAACCTAAAAATTCACATATGCTTGACCACTATTTAAGTCCATCAAGGTACTTGTGAATCAAATCAAAATTATCTACAGTACTTGCTTTTCAAGTAACTTATTGTCATCAACAACAAAAAAGTTTACTATTCATTTTTGTGAGTAGTGTATATTAAATCACAAAAACAAAAATGCTAAAAACACTAAATAAAATTACAGATATAAAATGATAACTTAAACAAGATAAAAACTAAGTAGACTCAGAAATTACGCGAGATATGTATACAGAATATCCCAAATGCAAACTTGTATCGATTTTGGATTTTCAATTAAAAGTTTCAAATAACACTAATCTTATTATATTACATGGAATCTAAAAGGTTTGTGGTAAATAAATAAAAGAAAAAGTTTTTTTAATCTAGTATTCTGTACAAATATGTTCATTAACAGTTATTGTTTTCAAAGTCTTACAAAAAAATGGGCAATTTAACTACTTTGACTTCTTGATATGTTAGTTAGAAAAATAAACTCAACTTTATTCTTTATACTGATTTTTATCATTGATGTACCTGGTCCCTGAAAAATAGAAAATATACTCTACTTACACTGTATCTGTGTACAAATATTTATTTTCATTGTTAATGAAACCCACAGGCTGATCCTTAATATGTTCTATAAAATAAACTGTTCTGTTTTAAAAACTTACATTACATAAAAATAATAATAAACTGTTTTGACCCCAGACAAAAATAAAGGTGTCAGCTAGATAAATTAAATCACAGTAAACTCTAAATACTAAGACAATGGAAAGAGAACTAGTGAATTACAACAAAGCTTTGCAAAGCTAACCAAGAATAATCTTAAATTAATAAACCAGAAGTAAATTGTAAAATTTGTGAAAACTTGGAATATTTCAGTATAATGTGAAGTTGAACAATAATGTGTAAATTACATCAAAATAACCCTGATTATAATTTAAATCACATCAATCTTACTATGATGCAATATTACATTTTATTACTAAATGTCATGCACTACCCAGCTAAGGCACCTTACACCTTAATACTGTAAAGCTATTAAGGTAAACATCAAAGGATTCCCATAATAGTTTACTAGAGAATCACATCAGTACTGTCCTCTACTAATATTCCAAGGTTACCACATAGATTTGGAATTTCAACATCCACATCACTTACATCACCACTTTTACTCATTATATTGGATTGTTTGTGCCTTTTTTTTTTTTCTTTACACTCTGACATCCTGCTGGTTTGGCGTCCACCTTAACAAGCAGATCTGATGAGATACTTTCTCTAATTTTATATCTCAGGGTCTGAAAAACACTCAAGACTGAGGAATTCCTTCCAAGAAGCTCTGTTACGAATAGTTCTGGTGTTGATACGTTTTGAAGTTCTCTTGTTAGGTTGTACATAAAAGTACCATTAATGAACCGTTCAGCATGAGGACTTATGAATGGCTCCAATAATAGCTTGTTAAGGTATAATGAAAACAGCAAACAAGTCTGAAACTGGTTTAGACTATGCACAACTGAAACAACAAATTTGCGAGCACTACTGTGTTGAGGTTTTCGAAAATATTTCCTTGTTTTTGCTTCAACTGTTTTCACATCTTCAGGCTTTAAGAACAATAATTTTTTAAATCCAAAATCTTCTTTACATTTTTGGATATTAATTAATGAGGGGTAATCTTCTAAGAATACACATTTGTCTAATAAAATACTGGATTTACTATTTGGTGAGCCTGAACAATATGGTTTAATGACATCAAGAACAATCAAAGCAACTATAAAAGCATTCAGAAAGTTTTCACTAATCAGTGGTGTGGCATTTCTTATCCAAAACCAGACAGTTCCAACAAGTAACTGTAAAGAATCTGGAAAACTGTTAAGTTTATCATAATTAACACCTAAAGCTGATACCAGTAACTGTCTTTTTTGTTTAATGTCCAACTTTGGAAGGTCAACAAAGGTGGGAACTGAACCAAATCCTTCAATGTAAAAACTTGGTTCAATATAGCTTTTCTGAATATGATTCCCATTTCGACCATGTTCTTCTACATATTTCAATCGAGTCAGTTTGTCTTGTTTCGGAGATTCATGATCTCCTACTAGCAAAGACTGAACTGAAAAAATAATCCCATATAACACTTTTCTTAAAGACAAAGAGCATAAATAGGTATTTGGTTCATTTGCATCTTCAACTTGAACTTGCAAAAATACACGATGCAAGCCTGAAGCATTTGCAAAAAATGGTGAGAGAAAACCTTCATGAAAGTGCCTTATGAACCATTCAGGTAGTGCATATCCTTCATAAGTTACCAGACTTGATTCGGTTTCTGGAGTACCTTCTTCCCAGATTTTGTCACTTAAGTAATGTATCAGGTTAGTGTTACATTTCTTATATGCATTTACTGATTCATAGATAAGCTCCCTTGCTGCATCTCTGTTAGATTTTTTCAAACAACTGAGAACAAACTCAACTGCTTCAGAAAGACTCCGATACTGTAACCAGGTGAGAAGCCCTACCATTCTGATGTGTCTTTTACTGACTTTTAACTTTTTGGACTTCATCTTTGGAAGTTTCATATTTAAGAAAAATGTTTCAAATGTCTGAATGTTCACAATGTCATTTCCAATTAATGTACCAAAAAGCGGCAGAACAACTCTGTCTATGCCAGGAAAATTAGACAGAAAATTACTCACATAATAAATCTTACATTTTAAATAGTAATATGTTCTTCCGTCAGGTTTCACAGACTGTAAACAGTTCAAGTCTATAGAATCTAGCCTTATGAATCCACTTACAATATCATAAATGTAAAAGTCACTGTCCTGACTCAGAACAGGACACTGCAAATGATTGGCTATTGCTACAATTTGATTATCTGCTTCAAAGTCACACTGTGCATGTGAAATATTTAATTCCACCAAAATATCTCTCAGGACACCATGAGCTAAAATGGGAAGCATTTTTTCTGAAGCTTGGCCATGTTTAGCTATTTGTAAGGCAATAGACAGCCTCTGTCTTGTTCTTTCCTGAACAGTTCGAAGCTTCTTGTCTGACAAGTCATATCCACCATCAAAGATAATAAATGGTTTGATGTTACATTTAAATAGAACTAAGAAGAAATCACGCACAACATCTGCATATCTGAAAGACAGAGATAAATAACACTAAGTTAAAACATGTTACAAACTTTGTGGATTTTCATTAATTCATGAAATACTAAGTTTAAATATACATAGAATAATGCAATTACATAAAAGTGAAAAAAAGTTATTTTAATTATTACAAACATTATAAAAACAATTTTGAAGTTTTTAAATCAATGAATTTTGCAAGTATGAATTTTAAAAAGTGAAAACATCTCAAAAGCTTTATATCAACTAATACATCTATATCTACTCAACTTTTACGTATAATTTCATGGACTTTTAATACTTTGAAATGCCTCTCTGAACAATTTTATCCTGCAACTTCTATGTTTTCTGTAAGTTAGTTTTGTATAAATATCTCTAATAATCCAGTTAATAAAACAAATATGAAGCAACTAATTTACATTACAATTTCCATTAATCTCTGAACACATAAAAATTCACTTAGGCACTTAGTATGAAGTGAAAACAAGACCTATCATAGTCTCCACCATAAACACACTCCAAACGGGAACTGAAGTACAATAAATGAACCAAATTATTCCCATCTATAACAATTTCTGTATCGTGAAGATGGTGTAATAGGGATAAGTCTGGATTCAGGTCAAAAAATGAGCTTAATCCTCGAACTCCCATATTTCTTTGTAAATTCTAAAATATCAGTTTTTCATGTCAAGTTTTCAACATTCTGTGTCATCCTATAATTTTCCATCCTTGTCAATTCCATAAAGTTTAACTTAAGTGACATCTGAAAACAGAAAAGTAAGGGTGAATTATCAAATAATCATTGCAGTTCTCAAATTACTATTATCAATAAACTTTTTAGTAAATGCGCTCAAGAATTTGGAAAAGCTATATCCCAAACAACTAAAGATAATCATTATAGTACTTTACAAGTAAAATACAAAAACGCAAACTATAATAACGCCTATAACTAGTACTTATTAATATTAATCAACTTAACGTAGCTTAGAGTTAGAAGTATAACTAATATTAATAAGGCTAAAAGTAAAACTTGATTTTAGCACTAATACTAATATTTACACAGGTTTTGAACTTCAGGCAAATGTGGTATAAACATTATGATTAAATCCAATGTCCATGAGACATATTTTGCGTAGCCTATGAATAAGAATCTGGTTCTGTATTATACATATATTATATACATAGTTTACGAGCATGTCGTAAGACTTATCTCGATCATTCGGGAATTGGAGGCTTTGTTCTTCAAAAACGTGACACCATTCATAGATGGATAACACAGGCCTGCGAATTTAAACTTCATAAAAGTTGTTTTGGTTTTAATAACGGATTTTTTATAATTCAGATACACAGATTTCGAAAATAATAGTAATTTTTTTCTATCACGTAAGGATTTTTTACAAATCTGGAAGAAAAAACTTACTTAGACCAAATTATTATTTCGTTTACCGCAATGAACATTTTCTATTATTATGTTTGTTATCTAACAAACTGAAGAAAAGGGAAGAACATTGATGTCAAACGAATAATATGTATCCTCATTCATCCTGTTTTGTTTTGTTTTTGTGAAAACTACGTCTTTTACTTTTAGTCTCAAAACTATGTGTTGTTGTCATTCTTTTATGTATTGCGTTATGATGTTTTGTGAAAAATCTGTATGTGATCGAGAAATATAGATATCATTTTGAGATTCATGCTACAGGAATTGGTGTAGCTTGTAGAATATTGTTACGACAGCGGAGGTGACGTGACGCTAGTAACACGTCATGCACTTCTAGAATGTTCATGAAACCGCGAGAGGTTACTAGATTCGGTAGTCTTGTACATATAAGCCGGTCAAGACGTGACGGCAACAATGTAATTGAACTGCGGACAGAGAGACATATTGTTGAGTCGAGCACGTGAAGCGTTAGTTGTGAATTATAGCGTTTGTTGTAGCGCGACTGTGTAAATTAAGTGTATCGCAAAGTTGTATTAAGAAAGAATAAAGCAGTTTTATTTAAGACATGACTTGTATCGGTAAAGTTTCTTCGGAAAGAATTTTTACGTAAAATTAACTAACGAACGGAGGCGTAACAATATGTAAAAATTTCAAGACAAGAAAACCATCGCAGGCCTGTGTAATTGTACTATTGGCATTTGTTGTTGTTTTTTTTTTTTGTACTATTAAATCACCAGTTTTGAATTAAATTGGTTAATACAGTTTAACTAGATTTCCTGAAATAAATTTACCTCTACCACTTTCAAATGTATTAACTTATTCAGTTCTACCATAAAAATCTAACAATTAATATAGTTGGAAGTACAATTTAATATTGCCATATTTGTTTTACGCGTTTTATTAGCTGAAATATTTCCATTACACGCACCTTACTTTAGTTTGTGTTCCAACCATCTTATGCAAATAATTGAGATGGAGTTCCAGAGTTTAAGTTTTGAGTTAAATTTTCGGAGCCCCCCAGTGGCACATTGGTATGTCTGCGGACTTACAATGCTAGAAACTGAGTTTCGATACCCGTGGTGGGCAGAGCACAGATAGCCCATTGTGTAGCTTTGTGCTTAACTTCAAACAAACAAACAAATTTTCGGACACCCTGGGTTCAGTTACTACTGAACAGGATGTGGTGACTTATTTTAAGCCTAAATTAAATAACCCTATTCTACTTCTTTTTTTTTATTATATGCTCTGGCTAGTTTTTGATGCCTATGGCTCAGTACCAATATGTCTAATTTTTCATTGCACCAACTTATTTACTTTTCCAAAGATTGAAAATTTTTCTTCTTCCTCTTTTCTTTTTTTTTTATTTTGCTATAAATGACGTGACATTTTGTAATATCAGTGAAATGTGAGAATTGCACACCATTTGTTCAACAAATGGACGAATATTAACTTGAGTGATATGTGGGAATATCATGTCTTTCGCCACCTTTTATTGATACTGAAAATTTTAAAACGTTTGGTCTGTCTCAATATAGTTTTCAATTTACCATTTTGAAAAAAACCATTAAAATTGTTTCGTTCTAGTTTCCTTTATGTCTTTGTTGTTCTATGTATAACAGGTAGTATCATTGTTTGGAGTTATGCATAAAACTGTACAATGGGCTAGCTGTGCTGTGCACACCAGGGGTATTGAAACAAAGTTTTTAGCGTTATAAGTTTGCAGACTTACCGCTGTGCCACTTGTGGGGGGGGGGGGACAGATAATATCTACTTTTCCTGTGGGAACATTGCTCCAACTTCACCGTTTGTGTCGAGATTGGTTAGAGAAAGCAACGTCTTTCACTGGCTAAGTGGAGTATGTCTGTATGTTACAGCCTGTGAATACTATGAGAAAACAACGAGTCATGTAGGGAAGCTCATCATAAATGAACAGGACCGAGGTTATCTGTTAATATGAAGCTTTAGTTCTACAACCAATTCTATCTAGTTTTTGAATTGATTAGAATGACAGAGATCTGTCCTGAGAGAAAGAAAGATGATAACCCATTCAATGATCCAGTAGAGGTAATCATGCCTTTGTCTATACAGGTATTTGCACTGTTTTTTTGTTGTGTCATATATAAAGATTGTTCTTAATTTACATCATGTCTGTCCAATCTACTTATTTCTCACATAGCTTAAAATTCAGTCGTTACTCAAATTCAGACCACTTTGCAAATTCACTACTTGACCCTCCTATTACTAAGTGGACCATTAATACTTGCACGGAAATAAGTTTATCCGAGAATACCAAAAGTACATAGGAAGGATACATTTAATCCTTTGACTACATGATTGATTGTGTAATTTTTTGTCTTTGTTGATGTGCGCATTGGCTATTGGTTGAATTATTCAGTAGTATGTGTTTAAAGTAATACTTCTGACTGAAAACATGACATATTTACAAAGTAGAATTAGTCTCGCACTAGAAGGAGAGATGTCAAGAAACAAAATTGTGCCCACATTAATCAAACTAATTTGTATTACAATAATATGTTACAAAAATTCAAAGATGATCAAAAACAATATCCATTGTTACGACAGCAGAAGTCACGTGACGCTGCTGGCGCGTTGGCGCTGGTTGTGTGCGTCATGAGTTTCTCGAATAATCGGGGAAGTCCAAGTTTGTTCGAGATACCCTCTTCGTTAGTATATAAGCCTGACAGGAAAGCCAGTAGAGATATATGAATGAAGAGAGAGCAGTAGTTACTTTGAGTTCCGTATAATTTATGATTCTGTTAGTTTCGAGCTAGTGAGCCGTAAAGTGTGTGTTTTGCACTCGTCGAGAGCGAAGTTATCGAGATTGTGAATTTCTGTGATTTATAGCGTGTATTATAAAAGTTGTTAAGTTTAAAGTGACGAGAAGCATACTGATTGTGGAACTACTGTGTACCAAAAGTTTGTATCGAGGAACAACAAACTGGTTTAATAAAGAAAGGACTTTTATTGTTGAAGATCCCCGGTAAGAATTTTTACCAGAAACAAACAAACAAGCAGATACGTAACAAATTGATATCAGAGAGTGGGACAGAAAACAAAGGAAAGGAAAGGAAAACAAAAACAAAAAGATGGAAACTAGAAGTGGCAAATCAAACTACAGCTTAGCAGATTTGATGGCAGCAACACAAGAACAGCAAAAGAAACAAGAAGAACGAGAAAATAAAGAAGAAGAGAGACAACAGCATTGGCAAGAAAATCTGCAACAGTGGCAGCTCGAACAGCAAAATAAACAAGAAAAGAGATTACAGCAGTTATTGGAGAAAAAAGAAAAGAAACAAGAAGAGAGATTACAGTAGTTGTTGGAGGAAAAAGAAAAGAAAGAAACAGAACAAGAAAATAAACAAGAAGAGAGACTACAGCAGTGGTTGGAGGAGAAAGAAAAGAAACAAGAAGAGAGAGTAACAAGAACACCAGCACCAGTGGCAACTGGAACAAGAAAGAAAACAGGAAGAAAATCTCCAACAACTACAGGAAAGTCAGCAACAGTGGCAAGAAGAAT